ACTACAGTAAAACTTGATGGTACAAATTATTTGGAGTGGGCACAATCAGTTAAGATGGCTATTGGTGCCCGTGGAAAATTAGGGTATCTCACTAGGGAGGAGAAGAAACCTGATACAGACTCTTCCCGATGGGTGTAGGAGAATTACATGGTAATGTCCTGGGTGTGTAATTCTATGTTACCTCGTATTGCAAAAAATTTCCTATGGGCTAATACTGCTAAGGAGATTTGAGATGGAGTGATTGAAACCTACTCTCAAAAACAAAATGAAGCCAGAACCTATTAGTTAAGGAATTAGGTGATAAGTATGAAACAGGGACAAAAACCTCTTGCTGTGTATTTCTCCATGCTGAAAACCCTATGGTAGGAAATAGATCACTTAGAAACTGTGGAATGGGAAAGTGTAAATGATGCAGCAATCTATCACAGACCGATAGAGAGGAATAGGTTTTTTGAGTTCTTGGCAGGGTTGAACCCTAAATTCGACATTGCTAGGTAGCATATTCTTTCTAGGAAGGGTGTGACACTCTCTCAAGCCTATGCCTTTGTCTTTGGAGAGGAGAGTAGGAGGAATGTAATGCTGAGACAACCTGGGATTGACTAATCGGCTATGGTTAGTACAACAAAACCTAAGTCGAATGGAGACAAGGGGAGTAGTAAGACTAGAAGGGAAGATAAGAAGGACTTGGTGTGTGATTATTGCAAGAAGCCTAAGCATACCAGGGACACTTGCCGGAAGCTTAATCCAAATCTTATGCTTGCCCGGACAAAGAACAAGAAGGGAAATGCAAATGTAGCCACTACAGGAGACTCTTCAGTCCCTCTTTCCCAAACGGATTGGGAATTCATTGCAGTAGCAGCAGTGAGGACAAAATTGGAGAGGTTTGGACAGCTTACGAGTAAGAAAAATTCACCTAACACTAGCCTTCCAGATGGACAGCAGAATGCAGGAGCCAACTATACCTCTTCCTTTGCACATGCAGGTAGTTCAGGAGCATCTGAGCACATAACTAATGCCCCTACCCTTTTCAGTTCATATCCGTTGTGTTCTGRTAGAGACAAGGTCTCTACAGTTAGAGTGACCAATGATATAACTCTGTCTTCTGTTTTATGTGTCCCTAGACTTCATACCAACCTACTAATTGCTAGTTTTTGACAAAGAATTTGAATTTTCGTGACCTTTCTTCCTGGTAATTGTGTTTTGCAGGATCTGGAGTCAAAGAAGATGATTGGGAGTGGTCGTGAGGTGAATGGAGTGTACCTTATAGATGAGATTCCGAGACATCAGGGCTATCATGTTAGCAGCAGCAGTAGTAGTGGGTCAGAGTCAATGAACCAGATTATGCTCTGGCACAATCGCTTGGGACACCTTTCTTTTAGTTCTTTGAAATGTCTTTTCCCAAAGTTGTTTGAGTCCGTTCAGTTATCTACTTTGGAGTGTGAGAGTTGTCAATTAGGAAAGCATTGTAGACAGTCGTTTAAACCAAGTAATATAAGTACTTTTGCTTTTAATATTGTTCACATTGATGTATGGGGTCTATATCATATCCCTTCCATGGGAGGATTCCGTTACTTTCTCTTATTTGTGGATGATTATACACGATATTCTTGGATATATTTGATGAGATCACGTGATGAGGTTCCTAACTTGGTACGACAGTTTCACCAGATGGTTCTCACACAATTCGGAGTGAGAACTAAGGTTTTTAGATCAGATAATGCTAGAGAGTACTTTGAGAAGGACCTGACCACGTATTTCCTAGAACATGGGGTAATTCATCAGAGCAGTTGTGCATATACACCACAACAGAATGGAGTTGCTAAGAGAAAAAACAAACACATTGTGGAGGTGGYAAGGAGTCTTATGGTGTGTGCTTCAGTTCCTGTGTAGTTCTGGGGAGATGCAGTTCTTACARCTGTGAATTTGATTAACCGTGTTCCTTCACGGACTTTGGGGTTTAAGGTGCCATTTAGTCTACTTTTTCCAAATGGGGAGATAGTTCATATACCTCTGAGGATTTTTGGGTGTGTTTCCTTTGTTCACATTCTTGGCCCTCATCGCAAGAAATTGGATCCTAAGGCCAACAAATGTGTTTTTCTTGGGTATGCTCAGAACCAAAAGGGATATTGTTGTTATGACCTAGTGTCGATGAGCAAATTTGTCACAACAGATGTTACCTTCTTTGAATTCACCTTCTTCTTGAGTGGTTCTCCTCAAGGGGAGAGTTTTGGGGAGAACTCACAATCTGCTCATCTTCCTGTTTCTTTGGTGGCTGAAATTGCACCTCCAGTTTCATTACCTGAGCCACTACGGGCAGCCTCACAGAAATATCAGCGCCGGTAGATGATGGTTGACTCCACACATCCTCAACCCACACCACTCTCTATCAGTCCTTCTGAAAATCCAGATTCAGCAGATACAATTCCAGGTATTCCTCTTGAACCTGAGCCTGTTATGTTTTCTAATGATAATGTTCATGTCCCTAACACCATTGTTGCAAYTGATCCCACTGACATTGATCTTCCCATAGTTCTTTGTAAGGGGAAGAGAAAGTGTACAGCCTATTGCATTTCACACCATCTTTTCTACAGTGCCTTATCACCCTCCTACCGTGCTTTTCTTTCTTCCCTGGATTTTGTGTCTATACCTAGGAATGTTACTGAGGCTCTCTCCAAACCTAAGTGGAAAACAGACATGCAAGATGAGATGGATGCTTTG